CCCCAAAACCCCAAAACCCCAAAACCCCAAAACCCCATATAACGCAAAATAATTTGAACCTGATAATAATATATTAATAAACATGAATAAATTAATCACCTATGAGGAAAATTTATCTGAAGAGTTCCTAGATGAACACGCTTCAGCTTCAAGTGTCAATATATCTCCTAACATTGCTAAGAATATGGAAAAGTGCTTTTTCAACAACAAGATAGAGTTCGTCCGGAACAATGAGCCTAAGACTCCCCCATTGGGCACTTCGAGATTCTCAACATCTCCATGAATCACAGAATCGAAGCAAGATAGTTTCCTTACTGTTCCAAAAAGAATTCCTTGTATAAATTTCTCTAAGACTTCTTCCCCAAAATCCAACCTGCAGAGCGACATTAAATCCTTACTACACAAAGCCATGGAGATCAGGGCTTTCTCTAACCCAATTAGGAAAGGAATAAACACTCCTGCCAATTTAAAACCCAAGAAGGGGCTTGCTAGGAGGAAACTTGTGAGAGGAGTGACTATCCATGACTGTGAAAGCGCCAAATGCTTCCAATAAACCTTAAACTTCTTTATAATAATTAAACTTCGATTCTGCTGTTGGATTCATGCATTCTCCTTCAAACTGCATTGGGTATAGGGATCAGTATGAATAAGAGTGGGCACTTATTTTAATCTATATACTTCCGAAGTGACTTGAGTAAATTATTTTTAAACCAAGTTATTACTCACTTAGTCAAGTAGGCATTGAGGATCGTTAGAGGTCATTTGTTGTAGGAGAAGATAAGAGTAGTATTTTGTCCAGTGCATATTAAAGTAAAACCGATTGGGGTTTATATCATCTCTTGCTTATAAATCTTCTCAAATTTTTCATGTATGCTTTAGAGAAGATTTTATGTTAAAATTAATAACTTACTTCCCAAATAATTAAAACTATAACTTGGAAATGCAGCAAGAGGAGATTATTGAAATCCATCTTATATCCTATCATTGTGATCAGTACGCCAACTCCATTAGTGAGAGTCGATAATTGCCATAACCAAACATTTGTAACTCCTGATTCTATCAAAAATATATTTTCCAACTTGGTGACCCATTCAGACAAGTTTGAATTTCGGTTCGGATGACTGCTCAATTTCGGTAGTTTTTCAGTTACCAATGAGACAATAATACTGTGCCCTTTTATAGGACATAAAGAGAGTGAATTTCGTTGCCAGTTTGAGTCTTTAACTAACTAAAAATTAATCTATTGATGTTTACTATAAAAATTGGCTTAAAATATTATGAATAAACTTCTGTCACAAGAAAGATCTGGGAATGGGATGTTCTTATATATGATCTCTGAATTGACTCTTAGTATTAATTGAACTTGGCTTAAATAGTTCCTATATTATTTCCAATGATTTAATAGAGACTTAGAAATATTTTAAGAACTTGGTCATATTGAATAAAAACTTTGTATTAAAATATATAAAAATTATAGAAGTTATAGAAATCATTCTCGAGTTTTAACCAACACTCTGAACTTTTAATTGCAGCACTCTATCACTCAAATGCTAATCTCTGAAGTCATCAGACAATTTATTTTACTCTTTTTTTTCTATAAAGAGAATGATGATAAAAACCTTGAATTTACTCTAAATGTACATCATTAGATAACACTATAAAATAAGTTTACTGATGTTGTTCTTTGTTCTTGTATTTATAGAACAATACACTAACCTTCAGATAACCTAATGTTAAGCACTGATGGTAAAATCTACATAAGTGTCAGATCATCTTCACCACAATTGTGTGAATTCTTGGTCCTAATAGTGTCCCCTTTCTTAAGAAAATATAGAGAATCATTGCTAAATATGAATTATTATAAAGCTGGAGACTATTAATAGCATACAATGCTCCAGAGCCATAGATTTCTCAAGAAAATTAGAGTTTGATTAAGACTTTTAAACCTTTGTGAGACTACTATGAGCAGTCATAGCCACAAATTTCTTATCAATAGAGAACATTTTCATTAGGCGAATCTTTCACGATTCTTAGTCAGGCTGCCTTGCTTTGACTCACTCTATTAAAAATAAGGAGCTTATTCAGTCTGCTATTATCAGTCCCTTTATATATTCTTAAAAATCCAGTTTACTTTAAAAGATAAGTAAACTCATTTTGGAAAATATAGAAAAAAATTAAATAGACTCTGAGATAGCTCGGTCAACAAGAGATGGAAAGAGTTAAGACAACATCAGCCTCAATAGTGTTTGTGACTTTACTAGCTTGAGAGGGACTACCTTGACAAGTTGGTTGTAAGTCGACATGTCAGAAAATTCTAAAATAACTTGAATAAATTGAATGACTTTTGAAAGTAGACAATTCATATAAAATAATCTACACTAATGATTTTTCAAGCCTGGACTAGCTAATACAGCTAGGACTACTAGTTAATGCTCAAGGTCCCAACTTTGAAATACTATCTTTTATAGCTCTCAAGCTCTGAATAACAAAATTTCTTTATTGGTAGTCAGCCTAATATTTAATTCTGGGCGGTGTAACTTTGATTTTAAGTAAACCGGTAATTTTAAATTATGGGAATTGATCAACTGAAGTTCTACTTAATTGGACATTTGACGAGAATATCAGTTAAAATATAGAATTTATGAAAACGTGAGGTTGGCAAACAAATAAGCTGCTACCTCTTCAGAGATTATTATATTGCGCCTCAATGAATTTCGGCATTGTTCAATTCTGCTGAAATTATTCGGGGTTTTGGGGTTTTGGGGTTTTGGGG